ACCCAAATAGTCATCTTAATAGGAGCATAGACTACATTTGGTCAATAGTGCTTAGCAAGGTTTCCTCCAAACTCTTTTACACAGCCCTAACGTCATGACAAGTTCAACATCACTGTTTTGAGCAATCACATTTGTGAGACATTAAAACAATTATATATATATATATATATATATACACACACACACAAGAGATGAGTGTGATCTTTTAAAATGGTTTCATTCCTTCCATCTTATGTTTTACACAAAACAATAACATGTTTTGAATATTTGGAAAAAGTAGCTTTAAAGAATCTTATTGTTAACATTCACATATATCTTTATGGAAAAACAAAATCAAACAGAAATGCATGGAGTGATATAGTGCAATTCTATATTACGCTTGGATATGCAGAAATAACTGTGCAGATATAACTGTGAAATAACAGTAGAGGTTTACAAAGGTAAGATAAATTAATCACACATCAGTCATTACAGCTGAATATTTTTTTTAAATTGTTTCCACTGTTCAGAAATACTTTCCAGACACATTCATCCTAGAGCTGCATTAACTCATGAGAGATGGCAGGGGGATTGGCACCTCTAAGAAATCAAACCATTCACAAAACGGTTTGACTCCTTAAAAGGAAGGAGGGGGGTATATTTAGAATATCACAATCTCACATTTTTTCTCTGTCCTAGGAGAACACAGTTGAACAAGTAAGATTTTGGATGCAGTGCCCTTAGTTATTTGTGTGAACCCATGTATAAATGTTTAAAATGCATCAAAAAGTGACAGATTGCTGCTGGAAGCTGTGTAGAGGAAAAAAAGTCTCTACCTCCACTACTGATGGGGATGCTCATTAATTAACCCTTAGTGACCACGGATTTTTTTGGCACTTTTGCTATGTACTGTCCAGAGGTGTAACTAGAAAACACTGTCCCTCCTAAATAGTGACACTTGCGACCCCTGGTGCGAAAATTGCCCTTCCTCTCCCTCCCCCCCACCCCACCCCACCCCTCCTTTTGTATAATATAACACATACAGATACATACACGGACACACATGCTTATACACAGACACACAGAATGACACACATTCAGATACATAGAAGGACACGTCTACAGATACAAACACTGACACACATACAGATACACAGACACACACTGACACACATGCGGATACAGAGTTACACATATAGACACATGCAAATACACATACACAGAATGACACGCATACAGATACATAGTGGGACATACATGCAGACAAACAGATACACAAACAGACACGTGCAGACAAACAGATACACATGTAGACACAGACACGCATGTGGATACACAGACACATATATAGACACGCTTTCAGATACACAGACACACTTAATGACAAACATTTAGATACACAGAATGATACGCATACAGATATAAACAGTGACACACATACAGAGTCATAGTTACATACTGTGACACAGATGCAGACAAACAGATACACATACAGACACACTACAGACATACAGATACACATACAAACAGACACACATGCAGACAAACATACAGACATGTGAAGACAAACAGACACACACATATAGACATGCATGCAGATACACAGACACACTTAATGACAAACATTCAGGTACACAGAATGACACGCATACAGATATAAACTGTGACACACATTACACACACATTACATACATACACACACAAACACACACACATAGACACCCATACAGACAAACAGATACACATACAGACAGATAGACAAACACACACACACACACAAACATTAACACATACATACACACATACAGACATTAATTTACACAGACATTAACACACACACATTCACACACACTGTTAAAAATTTTAGTCACCCTTCTCTTTTCCACCTTAAGCTGATGAGTCAGAGCTCCCACTCTGACTCCCTCCTCTCCTCCCCAGTGTTCTCCTCCTGCGCGGCTCTGTTAGCTGGGAGGGAGTGACGGCTTCCTCCCAGCGTTCTCACGTCATCATTGGGGTCCAGTTGTGCTCTTAAAGCGCTGCAACGCTGTTTGGGCCCCAGGAAATTCATTGCCACCTGGTGGCCCCAAGAGCATGGGCCACGTGAATGACCCCTTCAATGCTGCCCCGGTGGTTGCTCCGCAATGCTGGCAGGCACCCCGGTTGCAGGGGTCGGCAGGGCAGCTGGGCCTCTTGGAGCGACCAGTTCCACCACTGGTGCTGTCCCACCAGAATGTAATGCTTTCCCTTAAAGTGCCCTGAATAATAAGATAAGGACAGATAATGTTTTAATATGATAACCTGTATGTGTATGAGTACCCCTTAGCAGCCCATTTCCATAAATTGTACCCCTTGGATTAGCTAGATGTTTGTTATTGATATAGATGCTGTTATTTCAAATGTAAACATGTTCTCTGCTCCAGTCTCTGATCAGTCAGGGGAATCTGTTTCACCCTGAGCAGGTGCATTTCTTGGATGAAGGCGGCATCTGCTTGTGATCTCTTAAATTCTATAAGCAGTAGTCATTGTTTATGAGGAAAATGTAATCCCTTCATATTTAGGCAAACTACTTTGGCAACCATTTGAAATTTCTACTCAGATACACTGATTGCAGCCAGTATGTCAGTGTCTTAGGAGTCTCCATACTTTAAAACCTAGGCCAATTTCCTGTAGTTTTCAGTGGGGGGACAGAAGAAGTAAATACAAGGGAAAAAAAAGGAAAATGAGAAAACCATAAGGAACCAAAAGCTTGGACTTACTAATCACCAGTGACCAGTTCCTGCAAGCTTATAACCACTGCCTACTCAGGACTAGGAGTTGCTTGGCTGAAATCACACTCTATTGGATGACCCCTGCACTGTAAAGAGACATCAACAGCCATGCTGCAAATGGAAAAACATTTGTACCTCACGTCCCTGTAAACTACACCCAGAGGTGGGCAAAACGCACTGAGTGCAAACCCACAGTATCTCAAAAGAAAGACAACTTACCCTCATGGAACTTCCTATTGTAACGTACGGTACTTTCACCGTGCTCCCTGAGTCTGTAGGTGTTTTCCCCCTCATGTGCTTAGAGTTTCATGATCCTAAGGTGTTCACTTTTTGATTGAAAACATTTGCCACTGTGCTTAACATTTTGAAACCTGCTACATGGGTATTTGTCATAGTTCCCTTAGCCTAGGCATACAATGTTTATGATATGGTTTTAAGAAATTTATTTATTTGTACATTTTGAGTTTTATTATTTTTATAAACAAATTTTTCTTGCGACCAAGAGCTCTACAGTAAGTTACATAGCTGAAAATAGACTTGCTTCCATCAAGTTCAGCCTTCCTCACATGTTTTTGCTGTTGATCCAAAAGAAGGCAAAAAACCCAGTCTGAGGCTCTTCCAATTTTGCAACCGACTAGGAAAAAAATAATTCTTGACCCCAAAATGGTAGTCAGATATCTCCTGGATCAGGCAGCTACTACCCCACTAATTAGAAATTATATCCCTGTATGTTATGTTTTTGGAAGTATTTATACAATTGCTATTTAAACATCTGTATGAACTCTGATAAAACAACCTCTTCAAGCAGAGAATTCCACATCCTTATAGTTCTTACTGTAAAAAAACAAAAAAAACCCACAAAAAAAACCTTTTATTTGCCTTAGATTAAATCTCTTTTCTTCCAGCCTAAATGCGTGACCTCGTGTCCTATCAGGGCCGGTACAAGGAATTCTGCTGCCCTAGGCAAAGATCCATTTTTCCACCCCTCATGAGATAGTTCCACAAGTTCATTCACTAAACTCCAAAAGGAAACATTTCACTGATTTCTTTTAACAATTTCATTGTGCACACACAAACACACACACATACACACCTACACACCTGCAAAGAAAATATAATTTTTTTTCTGCAAGCCATTCAATCAGAGGCTTCTCACTGAGAAGCCTCTGTTCTGGGGCTGCAGTTGTGCGCACGCGCACTCGATCACAGCTTTCCCATGTTTTCCAAGTTCAACACATTTAGAAGGGGAGAAGGCAGGTGCACACTAGTTGACACATCTGCCTCTTCTTGTAACTCTGTGGAGCTAAAGGAAGTGGAAGAAGACCTTCTTAGCTGTGTTACAGACAGGGAGGTGTATTGACCCCAAGTATAAAAGGTTCAATTTCTATTGAAATCAGCCCTTTTATAAACTGTCGAGAAAATGACAAACTCCAGACATAAAGCACTTCAGCAAATTTAAATACTTTGTGTGTGGAGTATTCCTCTCTCTTAGCAAACTGCCTTATACACACTCACAAAAAACAGCCTTACATATAAACACACACAATGCCTAATACACACACACACACACACACAGAGAAAGTGCCTTATACATACATATAAAGAAAATGCCTTATACACGCACACAGAAATATACAAATACATACATCAAAACATAAAAACTGCATACTCACAAATTCTTTCTAATACATATACACACACTGCCTAATGCATACACTTACATGTTGCCTAATACTGCAGACTGACACTAACACTGACCCCCCCCCCCCACACACACACACACTGAACACTAACACTGATCCATACACAAATACACTGGCACACACTGACCCATACACACACAAATTACACATTCCCTGACAGTCACACACAGTACATAATACTGCAGCAGCCTATGCATAAACACACACACACACACTGCATTATACATACACACCCACACTGCCTAACACATATATACACACACACACACACTGCCTAATACATACACACAGCAAGCTGCTAGGGGCATTGGAAGCAGCACAGTCAGTCAGTCTGGTACCTGTTCTGTGTCATGCTTCCAGTCTTTCTCCCACCATGAACAGGAACATTCTTCCTCCCACTGCCCTCCTCTTCAAAGGACTTCTAGAGGCAGGGACTTGGGAAGAGGGGTAAGAGGAAGGTGGTTGGCGTTAGAATGTTTAGGGCAAGGAAAGGCGGGATTAGCTGCGAGAGGAGTTAAGGGTTTGTGGGCATCAGAGGCGGGGTCATGATTGTCAACATATGAGGAAAGGGATTTAGGGGTGATTATTTCTGATGACTTAAAGGTAGGCAGACAATGTAATAGAGCAGCAGGAAATGCTAGCAGAATGCTTGGTTGTATAGGGAGAGGTATTAGCAGTAGAAAGAGGGAAGTGCTCATGCCATTGTACAGAACACTGGTGAGACCTCACTTGGAGTATTGTACACAGTACTGGAGACCGTATCTTCAGAAGGATATTGATACCTTAGAGGGTTCAGAGAAGGGCTACTAAACTGGTTCATGGATTGCGGGATAAAACTTACCAGGAAAGGTTAAAGGATCTTAACATGTATAGCTTGGAGGAAAGACGAGACAGGGGGGATATGATAGAAACATTTAAATATATAAAGGGAATCAACACAGTAAAGGAGGAGACTATATTTAAAAGAAGAAAAACTACCACAACAAGAGGACATAGTCTTAAATTAGAGGGACAAAGGTTTAAAAAATAATATCAGGAAGTATTACTTTACTGAGAGGGTAGTGGATGCATGGAATAGCCTTCCAGCTGAAGTGGTAGAGGTTAACACAGTAAAGGAGTTTAAGCATGCGTGGGATAGGCATAAGGCTATCCTAACTATAAGATAAGGCTAGGGACTAATGAAAGTATTTAGAAAATTGGGCAGACTAGATGGGCCGAATGGTTCTTATCTGCCGTCACATTCTATGTTTCTATGTTTCTATGTTGATGAAAGCAATTTATCTGGCTGAACTACAAGGAGGTGGGCTGCAGTAGTGAGGGGAGAGCACCGGCAGCGCTATCACATGCTGTGGCAGGGTCTCTGTTCTCTGTGAGTAAACATTGGCAGCAGAATCTCATGGGGATTTAGACTGTATTACTGCAGGCGCGCCCTCCCACACAGCGCCCCAGGCAATTGCCTAGTTTGCCTATAGAAAGCACCTGCCCTGTGTCCTATGTATAGCCCTGTTTATGAATAGATTTCCAGGTAATGCTTTGTACAGGCCCTGAATATATTTGTATAATGTTATCATATCCCTTCAGAGGCACCGTTTTTCCAAACTAAAGATTAAACATTTTTAATCGTTCTTCGTAGCTAAAATGTTCCATTCCTTTTTCAATTTTTTTCTAGTGCCATGATATCCTTCTTTAGAACAGGAGCCCAAAATTGCACAGCATACTCAAGGTGTGGTCTTACAAGCGATTTATAAAGAGGCAAAATTATATTTTCATCCAGAGGATTGGGTCAGAGTCCAACAGAGTGAATCAACAAATAAAAGAGTGAAACTTTTTCATAAGCCTCGGAAAGCGCAGTTCTCACAATTCAAAATCGTTTTCAGTTCCAAGTGCTGGAGGAGAGCAAGCTCCCATGTAGGTTAGGATAGCCAGCATGTACGGATCCTTTTCTCGGCAGCATGCAGATTTCTTGACAGAGGTGTTAAGGCGTTTGGTGGCTGAGGAGGATTAGTAAAGTTGTCCAGTATGAGATGCCAAGGGAAGTTGCAAACTTTTAAAACATTTTAAAAGGATAATATAGGATTGAACAAGATCTGCTTAAGGCTTCCATGCCCTGCGCTTCTAGAGAATGAGTGGGGATTCATCTTGGAAGATAGAAAGGGATTTCCCCTAATAGGAGGCCTTAACCCCTTAAGGACTGGACTGTTTTTGCGATGTTGTACATTTGCGACCAGGCATATTTTTACACTTTTGTGGTGTTTGTGTTTGGCTGTAATTTTCTGCTTTCTCATTTACTGTTCCCATACAAATTATATATTGTTTTTTTCAGGACAAAAGGGGCTTTCTTTACATACCATTATTTATATAATCTCATGTATTTTAATTTAAAAAAAATACAAAAATCTGATGAAAAATTGAAAAAATACATGTTTTTTGACTTTTACTTGAAAAATCTTTTACTCATCTACAAAAGCGAATGAAAAAAACTGCTAAATAGATTCAAAATTTTGTCCTGAGTTTAAAAATACCTAGTGTTTACGTGCTTTTTTTTGCATGTTATAGGGCTATAGGTACAAGTAGGATATTGCGGTTTCAAAACATACATTTAAAATTTATCAATAGTGACATTGTAACACTATTATCTGTCATAAATCTCTGAATAACACCCCACATGTACATATTTTTTTTAAAGTAGACAACCCAGGGTATTCAATATGGGGTATGTCCAGTCTTTTTTAGTAGCCACTTAGTCGAAAACACTGGCCAAAGTAAGCATTCATATTTGTTTGTGTGTGAAAAAAAGTAAAAAAACTAAATTGAACGCTAATTTTGGCCAGTGTTTGTGACCAAGTGGTTACTAAAAAAGACTGGACATACCCCATTTGCAATACCTTGGGTTGTCTTCTTTTGCAAATAGTATGCCATCATGGGGGTAATTCTCATTCCTGGGCTACCATACGCTCTCAAAGGCAACGTAACCAACCTGGCCATTTTCAATGTGAAAATATTTGACCCATATATTTGACCTTGTAACTTTCAAAAATGCTATAAAACCTGTACATGGGGGGTACTGTTTTACTCGGGAGACATCGCTGAACACAAATATTAGTGTTTAAAAACTGGAAAACGTATCACAACAATTATATCATCAGTAAAAGTGCTGTTTGTGTGTGAAAAATGCAAAAAAGTCACTTTCACTGACAATATCATCACTGTGATATGTTTTACTGTTTTGAATCACTAATATTTGTGTTCAGCGAAGTCTCCCGAGTAAAACAGTACCCCCCATGTACAGGTTTTAGGGTGTCGTAGAACGTTACAAGGTAAAATACAGTGCTAGCAAATTAAATTCTCTGGAATTTCGGCCTGGGTTGGCAGGCAGGTCCCTCAAATTGCAATCAATAAAATTACTGAATTATGTAAAAAATATTACATAAATACACACGTAGAATTTAAATATATATGCATATTTATATATTTGAAGTCTACGTGTATATTTATATAATTATTTATGTAATTTTGTATATGGACGTATGTATATTTCTTATTATTTTTATTTATTTTTATATACATAGATATATATACAAATTCATTCTAAGTGTATTTTGATATATATATATATTAATTTTAAAATACAGTTAGAATAAAATTTCATATAGCTATATAATTTTTTTAAATTTTTTTATTATTATTTTTAAAAAAATTTAATTAATTTTAATTACTTATTATTTATATTTTATAATAATATATATATACAATATATATAGTTATTATATATATTATATATATACGTGTGTAATTTAATTATAAGTGTATTTTTATATTAATATAAGTACATATTAATATAAAAATACACTTAGTATGACATTATATATATGATATAGACATATATTATATAGATATAATATATGTCTATATATCATATATACACATATATAATTATTATTATTTTTTTTATTACCATTAACTTTATTTTATTTTATGATTTTACACATGCAGGGAGACTGCCTGTCAGCACAGACAGTCCCCCTGCATGCAGACACATGGACACCTATTGTGACCATGTGATCGCTGTGTTAAGCGATCACATGGCCACAGGGGTCCTAATCTGCCGCGGGGAGACTGTCTGGGCTGCAGGCAGTCTCCCCACAACCGGAGCCACGCTGATCGCCGCCGGGGGAACGACGGCGATCAGGTAAGTAGCTCTGACCGTTAGGACGGTTCAGGACCGTCATCGGTCGGCAACGCAAAAATGCCGATGACGGTCCTGAACCGTCCTCGGTCCTTAAGGGGTTAACCCTCCATCATCTCCGTATAAATACCATCCCTGTTGGTGTTTTGATAAAACTATAAAATCCCGAGGCAGTTCACCATCTCTCCTGGCAGTCCTATGAGCATGATGTGCCTGATGGGCTACAACCACAGCTTCCACCCTATTTTCCAGTTTAGCTGTATGCACGCATGCCCAGCACCTAGATCCTGGGTTGCCTCTGACCACAGCGTTATCATGATCCCTCGATGGCCTTCATATTAGCCACCGAGGACTCTCTTTGCTTGCCCCTGCTCTGAAATGATTTCATGTGTCCCCTCCATTAACACCCTTCCTTAGGGGTAGAGTAAAATCTTATCAAATAAATGAGCGGCTTGCAGTGTGTTCGCCAGAGCTCAGGAATCAGGCATCCATTGCCTTCAAAGTCCAAACAACGCCCCTAATTTGTGTAATTTTGAGGATAATTGGAACAAACTGTTTCACTAAAGTCTAAATGGTTAAATAGAGAACTATGGTGAATCAAGGTCATCCACACATTGAAGTAAAACGTCTGCATTAAAGAGTAGGGTTCATCAAATTGTGTTGTACGTATTGCATAAAGATTACCATTTACATCAATAGCAATTACCATATAATCTCTGCAATACACAGAACTAGATCATGATTACATTTGACAGGAGAGATTCAATGCAAAAGCATTGTATATGTGTTGCACTTTCCAAATCTGCCTCAGGAATTCTGACAGAGAATAAATGGATAATGTACAATGGCAGATCATTTTTTTTATTTTGCTTTTGCTGGAATAGAGGCTACAAGTAATCTTGATAGTCTCCATCCGTTATTGTTATTATTAGGGTGCTCTACAAGTAGTTTAGTTAAAAAGTTACCTTTAAACCTATTTATATAACTTTTATGAGCTATTCCTAGTTTGTAAAACTTGGTCTACTCTGCTTGTGACCTTCTCCCCTCTGCTGCTTCCACCCATGCTGCTAACTCACACTTGCTGAACTTCTCGCGGGAGACTCCACTTCTTTGGAACAGCCTCCCTAGTTCCATCAGACTTTCCCCTAGTATTCAATAATTTACAAAGTCCCCCAAAACCCTCTTCAGAATAATTTATGGTCTCCTAGAGTATGTGTAGAGTAACCTCTACCTCACAAGCTGGCTGCCTATTGTTCTCATTGACTCCAATATTTCCTTCACCCCTCATGTCCAGTGAATTGCCAAATCCTGCTACTTTCATCTCAAAAACATTGCTCGCATCTGCTGCTATCTAACGCTGAATATGACTAAAGTGCTGGTCCATGCCACTATCCTCTTTTGCCTTGACTACTGCAATCTGCTTCTTGTTGGTCTTACACATAAAGTCATCTTCCTGTCCTGCCCATGCTTCCCCTTTCTGTCAGTCCTTACACAGGCTTCACATAAGATATAAGGCATAATTTAAAATTCTGGTAGCTTAGAAATCTCTACATAACGCTGCTCATATCAATCTTAACTTATA